GGCTGCTTTAACGTCGTCCCCCTTTAAAAAATACCCAACAAACAGTTAAGTTTGCGCACTTGGAAAATAAAGAGTTTTAACAACTTTAAGACACAAACAAATATATTTATACCACTCCTAAGTACTTCAACTACTATTATTATGTAATTCAGCTTACCTCTTCCAGAACAGGACTCCTCCTCTTGTTGCTCTGTATCTCCCGTAATTTTTTTTTTTTTGCCTCCTTGCTAGTTAGCAAGCCTTCTCAGATATCTACAAACCACTTCTCTGTGAGTATCCAGCAGGAAAATGCTGCCGTTTTTACCCAGACAGGTTTTGTTTAGTGGCGCACACCGCGCAGGAATCGCAGACCTCTATCAGATAGTGGAGTAAAACCTGACATGAGAAACACAATACAAGAGAGACAACGGAACTCTAGCCTCACCGAGCGCCATGCTGGTACTTCTGCTCTGCGGGACTGCTGCTGGAACAACCCGAGAGGGGGAGGGAGTGAAGTGGCCTTCCGGTGCTGTCGGAAATGGGAACATTATGGAGGCTCAATGCACAATAAAAGTAGATGGAAGTAGGAAAATACACATCTTAAAGGTGATATAGCTGATATATAACTGGGAAAAAGTATTCACATTAAGGTGACCAGATTCCAACAAAATTTAAAGCCAGGGGCTTTTGCAGGATTTCTTTTTCCACTGAAGGGACCAATAACATGGCAGGGGCGGTGATAATTCTAAAAACTGCCAGGGCAAAAATTCCCAGGGGGCCCCTTCATCCAGCCTTCACTGCCATTACTTTATAAATATTCTAAAAAAAAAGAAAAAAACGAAACAAAAAAAAACAGTTTGTGAAGGTTTGTTTAAAAAGAATTGTCATTGCCACTTACAGTGGGAGTAAGGGAACTCAGGTGTGCCCCCTCAGGGAGGTTAGGAATCTCAGACTATCACTGCAAACCTTTCACTACTGGCCTGGTGCCCAAAACAACAAGCAAGCCTTGCATTGCTTGGTTGCCTTTTAGCACATCCTGAGTTATCCTCCTTCATGAAACTTAAACTTACAAAATTTACTACATTAATTTAATGTTTTATTTAATGTTTTTATGGAACAGAGTACACCACTGTGTGAGAGAGGAAATTTGACTCTTACCAAAAATACCTTGAGTTAGAGTAGAAAAGAAAAGCACTATATAGCTACCAGTATTTTTGTAGAAAGCATGGGTAGATTTTCAGGCTAAAAATGTTTTTAAAATAAACTTAAAATAAGTAAATTAATGCAGCATGCATGATCAAAAATTATGATTCTTTAAAATGTACATCACTCCAGCGTTGCAGCTGGATTCAAAAGATTCAGCAAATAAAATTTAAAAAAAGATAACTAAAGCTTTAAAACAATTGTAATGAAGTGTAATGAACTACACCATTTACATCACGAGTAGAAGCAGAAGTAGATAGTGATGTAAATTGCCTCATATAACTAATTTTATACCGCTATTTGTGTTTTAATATTACGTTTCTAATAATCATCGGCTACTTCAGGATTACTACAACGTAAGCGGTAAATTTCCGAGATGCACCAGAAGGCAGCACCAGTCGTTATCAAAAGGGCGTGAACTGAATCGTATAATGAGCTGTAATGATGTGTCAAAAAGCAGCATCTTTTCCCAGACAGAGTGCATAATAACTCCTTTTTTCATTTCACTATTCTTTCACCCCTGTGGGCATGTTTGGCTGAAAGTCGAGTTTAATCGCATAACATCTTAAATTATACCAAAATATGTTGTTGTTTTTCTGTTCAGTTACAATTTTCCAACATTAGGAACCCCTGTTCTGTCATGCAGCAATAACGGGTGAAACACTTTTACCTTTCTTTTGGCTAAGGGATGTCTGGAGAGTTATACAGGGACATCTACTGGTCGCGTTTTCACTATTTTCAAGTAGATCCAACCAGATTTATTTATTTAACTCCTTTTACTTCAGGAGCACATACAATCCACTTTGATCTCAATTGGTCAGCATAAATATGAAAAGCCCTGCTCCTCTGAATGTCTAATATCTTTAAAAATGTGAAGAAATATTCTGAAAATTTCACATTCAATGCGCCAACAACAGACGGATAACAGCTTGTTTGTTTTAGTTCTCAGCAAGTCTCACAAACATCTCGTTGGAGAATCTCCTCCAGATTTGATGGTCCTCAGTTGTAAGTGGGATTCAGTATCTAATATTCACTTTGGTCTTCTGAAAGTGGTTCTTTACCAAGATGTGCGATGTGTGTTTTGGATTGTTGTCTTGTTGGAAGATAAACTGATGACCAAGACCCAGTTTTGTTGCTGACTATTTGAGGTTTTCTTTCAGAATCTTAACATATCCTTCTTTCTTCATGATTCCTTCCACCTTGAAGAGAGTCACAGTTCCAGACACATTGAAGAATCCACACAATGAAACGCTCCCACCACCTTGTTTCACCATGGGTGTTCTTTCTCCCTTCCTTCCCCTAACATAAGCAGCGTTTCTGTGGCCAAAGAGCTTGAGTTTTGTCTTGTATGACCAAAGGATGTGCTTGCAGTATTCATAATCTTTCTCTAGATTGTCCTTAGCACACTTCAGAGTGGCTTGAAGTGGATTTCTCCAGTCCTCACAGTTCTTCCTGTGCAGGGTCATTGTCTTATTTGACGCTACAATTCCTGACTTAACTAATTAACTCGTGAGTGTCTTGGCAGTCGTTGTGGGATCTTTAGACACATGTCTCACTACTTTCATTTCTACAGTCTTAGAAATCTTTTGTCTCCTATCTCTGCCAGGCTTGTCAGTGTGAACAAAGGCACAAACCCTTCACATGCAGAGTTTCATAAACAACAACAGTAATTTATATCTTTATAATTCAAACAAATTGTCTAAATGTAAAAATAGTTTTTATTGTAATGTTGGCACTTCATCCCGACATGGGGTAGAGCAATTTAACTCAAAAACATTGAATAATTAATTTCTTTATTGCATTTTTCACACTTTACAAAGCCATCTAATGGGCCGAACTGGAGCCCCCGGTGGGCTGGTTCTGTCCCCCGGGCTGCATGTTTGACGCCTCTGTTTTAACTTTTATGTAAAATACTTTTTAGTCCTGAGCTGAAGTTCTGATGCTTCTGTAGTTTTATGACACTGGGATGATATTATCCTATCTTTTCTTGAGGCAAAGGCAAACTGATGGAGCCATCACTGAGTCATATAAAAGAAAAAAGGCAAAAGGGAGATGCAGGACATATCTCCAGAGGTGCTGCTTTAACCATTTATTATAAGATGTACATTTGAAATGGACCTTTGACTCGTGATAACCTTCTCTGCAAACACAGAACTACTTGAGGGAGAGAAGAGCAAGCGAGACACAGTCAGACAATAAACATGTGATTTATTTTTATCTTTTGGAGGACACTGTATATCGAGCAAGAGGGAGAGATGAAGGCGAGGGAGAAAAAAGGCAATAAAGAAAAGAGATTTATTCAGAGGTGGCGCTCCTCTGTCACATGCAATCCCACGGGAGCTGGTAGAAGCCCGCAGGTCATATTTCCTCGCCGTAAGGAGGCTGCACTCCGCCCCTCCACCTCCTCCCAGACAATAGCCCCTGCCCCTCCTTTTCAGCTTGACCCCTGTGCATTACCACACACTCGCATTCAGAGACATTAAATGATGTTATTCGGAAAGACAACGGGAATGATTTGTACACGCGGAAAGGCAATAATCCTTCATAATGACTGCACCTGAGGGCAAAAAAACCCCATCACTGCACACACACATGCAGAGCTGCAAACGATGAAGGGGACAGCTGTGCTTATACTTACTGCTTACTGCTTATAAATGGAAACGAGGAAAGCAGCAGAGGACATGACAAGACATATGTCCCAATTTCCACGAAAGGATGGGCCTTGACAGAAATATTGCTCTCTCTTGTACAGTCCATTACTGTAAATAGATGTGCGAGACACAAAGTATTGAAATACAGCCAATACCAGAGAGGAAAGCCATTTTTTTTATTAGCAAGCACAGATTATAGAGCTATTATATGTAGTGTTGCTCACCAGTTGACATTTCACTGTCTTAATTGAAAGCAGCCCAAACGCTTTAAGCCTAATGTGCTCCTAAGATCAGGACTCTCACATCCAGTGATCTTCATTTGTATTGCTTTGATGAGGCTTTCAAACTTACTAACTCAGCCTGAGGCAACCTGCTTTCAAATTAGATTAGGCATCGTAAACTCAATGTCAACGAACGCTGCATGGTAATGCTTGAGCGCATATGTTTCTCTGTGGGGTGATTTTTCCTCTTTTCATGCTTGGATCAAGGAGGCCCTATGGAAAATTCCGAGAAGAATTAAATTCATTACATCCTCACTATAATGTCAGGGGCTTTGCGTGGGAGGGACTGAAACTATTTAGCTCATTTATTTAACTCTGTTCATGTTTTTATCCAGTTTGGGGTGGTGGGGAGACGGGAGAGGCAGGGAACACCTTGGATAGGTCACGAGTCTATCACAGGGCTAACTCAGAAAGACAGACCGTCACCTACAGACAATTAAGAATCACCAGTTACCTTAACATGGACATATTTTGGAGTATGAGAGGAAGCTGAAGAGAACCCACGTAGACACAGGGAGAACATGCAAATTCCACAGAGAAAACCCTAGCAAGGCTTCATGCTGTGATGACAGTGTTAGCTGTTACCACTGTGCCACCCACCAATTCAGGTTAAACATGACTAAATGTGACCTTATGGTGACACTGAAGGTATTGATATTTGTAAGAGAGTGCCTTGGAGTTGATATCATCGTGAAATTACAAATACAAAAGGCCTCAAACAGAACCTCATTTAGACAAACAAAACCCTCTGAAAACACAATAAAAATGCAATAAGGTTTCAGAAAACACAATTTTATTATGTTTCCTTGCTGTTGTTCCACTTTCTCTGTTTTGATGAGGTTTTTGTAACATTGTGTTTTTCTGTTATGTTTCAGTTGTTTTCTGTGTTTTGGGTAGTTTTGTGGTGTTTTCTGTTATGTTGTATTTCCTGAAATGTGTTTTTTCTTCTTCTGTGGGTGGCCCAGTGGTGTGGTCAGTACTGTCGCCTCATAGCAAGAAAGTTGTGGGTTTGAACCCACCAGCTGGCTGGGGCCCTTCTGAGTGGAGTTTTCCTTGGATTCTCTCTAGGTTCTCTGGCTCTCTCCCACTGTCCAAAGACATGCACTTAGTAGGGTTAGGTTAACTGGTAACTCTAAATTGTCCATAAGTGCGAAAGGTTGTCTGTCTCTCTGTGTTAGCCCTACATCAGCTTGGTGACTTGTCTAGCTTGTACCCCGCCTTTCGCTCCACGGTGGCTGGGATAAGGTCCAGCACCTCTGCGACCCTGTTAAGGATAAGTGGAAGAGAATCGATGGATGGTTCATTTTAGGTTAACTGGTTCTAAATTGTCTGCAGGTGTGAATCTGAACGTGAATGATTGTCTGTCTTTGGATTCGCCCTATGGCGAGCTATGACCTGTCCAGGGTGTACCAGCCTTTTGCACTATAACAGCTTGGATGGCTCCCACACCCGCCGTCCCTGCAACCCCAAATTCAATTTTGCAATAAAGAAATTGGATGTTGCATTTTGGCATCACTGGGCCACCATACATTTTACTGCAGCTGTGATACTTAACAGACCTCATAACCACAAACCCGAAGAGATAAAGGCAAAACTTTAAAGTGACTTTCTGACAATTCTATGTTTGCAAGACCTAAAATTAGATTTGCTGTACCAAGACTTCACACTGAGCCTATAATGCGCTTATATCTAAAAGAAAGCCATAAGTGCTGTTTCAAAGTCCCTCATGCTCTGATTATACTGACAGTTGCTTGCCTTCATGTACTATATATGTCTCTCTTAACAAGTAAAAATGCTAATCACTACAGAGATAAAACAACCACCCATGCATAATACAAGCCACATGGTGGGAGTTAAAACAGAATAACTAAATCAGATATGGAACAACAAACAAGCACAATGACACCGAGCAGTATAAATAGTGAATGAAGTCATTTAAGGGCGTTAAGAGCTGCTCCTGTCGGGCCCTTGACTAAAGGTCTAAATATATTTAGAGGCTTAAACCCACATATAAGTGCAGCATTTATGTGCAAAGACTCAAACTTCAGATTAATTTCAGTTAAAAAAAAAAAGCAAAATAAAAAAAGGAATAAATGCATGTAAAGAGAATTTAATCCACTGGATATCTGTGTATTATTTGAACATGAAATCCAATGTGTAACCCTCTTTGCATGCCTCAGCTTTGAAACATATGCAGGGCAATGACATATTGCAGTTTAAGTAGTGTGATATTTATGTTAGGGCTGGTGTCAGAAATCAGTGTTCAGTCCTTCATCACCGGCTAGGAAAGATTTAATTTATAAAAGCAACATCTTGTAGAGATGTGAAGATTCTCAGCTCAGTTTCTGGCCTAATCACCAGGCTGACTTTTACTTCAATACTAGTGGCACTAATCAAAATATAATTCATTGCTTTGTCCTGACAGGGCTGACGAGTTCAAACCTGAGATATGTTAACTACAGACAAATAAAAACATAGGGACCTAGAACTACTGGTGAAATCGTATGAGACCATTTTTTTTTCTTAATGAAAGGATGGCACTGTAGGTCAGCTACTCAAGAATACTCCAACCCATACTATAGGACACATACCGAAGTCTCCTGTCATGGTAAATGAGATGTGGTCTTAGAACACTGCCTCGTGTTATATTATTCCACAGGGATCACGAGTTCAAATAAATCTTGCTAGCTGACAGGAAGGGTTAGTGGTCCGTTGAAACAGGCTGTAGCTGAAAATAGCCTTGTGTCCTCACCAGTGGCACAGTCATCCAATAACCTGTGAAAAGTAGAATGATTCTCTTTCCACAACCACATTTCTAATCTAAAGATTGTTTTAGGAAAAAATAAATAAACACACATTACATTTAAAAAATAATGTAAAATGTTGGGGGCTGTGAGTTACTTGTTGTACACCGATTTGTTTAAAACCTAAATGTACCAAGTCTCACAAAACATCCATGTACTGCACTGAAGAGAAACCAACTTAAATGAAGCCAGGGCCAGGCTGTACTTTCATGTAATACCAATCTGTACCAGGAGATGGTGCAGTGAGTCAGTCATTCTTATTAACAACTGTAACCTGGCAAAAGGCAAAGGCCTACCTGCACAACATAATTACAAAAACTGCCTTTAGGAATATTTTGAAAGCTTTTTACAGAAGTTTCAATTAATTAAAACTACTAACAAAATATAAAGAAACAAAAAGCTATGATGTTACATCCAAGATGAGTATTTTGTAGCAGAGATAACAACTGAAGTTAAAATGAGGTCATGTAACATTTTATAGCCATAATTAGCCAACTTAGTTTGTGGAAAGCATGAATTAAAAGTTCTCTTTTGGGTAGCAATAGATAATTTCTAACAAAGAATCTAATCTATGTTGGTTGGGTGGAACCTTTTGCTAAAATGCTGCCACCTTGTGGTCAAAGATGTCACCAAATTTCAAAGAAGTCGTTTTTACCAGATTTCAAAAATTAATTTGTTAATTTGTTTGTTTAAAACAATCTAACTCAACCTTTAAAATAAAAAAAAATAAAAAATTGTAAGGCAGTTAAATCACAAGCCTGATGTCTGCTGTCTAAACCCTTCTTTGTGGGAAGAAATAGAATAACTCTTCAACTTCTTTAAAAAAGGTTTTTATTTCATATAAAGTTCTGCAGTATTTAAATTTAGAAACAAAAATGATTTACTGTTAGCGTCGATATGACAAGTTATATCATCAGTACAACTCTGACCTGCTCCACTCGTCACACCAACCACAGTCTTGCTACAGTTCCTTGGCAACATATACAACAGTCTCACTCACAAAAATGTTTAACTTTGCTTAATTTAATCCAAGCAGTACGAAACATGGAAAATGCCTTAGATATTATTTAACTTCTTATTTGGTGACAACAATCACAAGAAAAAGAGGCTGAACTGGTTTTGAATAAAATCCTGACCTGGTTAAAGTTCTGAAGCTGTGGTTGAGGATGGGACAGAAAGAGAGCACCTGAGAGGACCAGATCTTCATCCACCAAAGAGTCCAACTGAACCAACAACAATGTTAAACACAACAAAGTCTATGCTTTTAATCGTGACAACCCATGTGCGTCTTTCACTCACAGATGTGGACGAAACATTTACTTGATTTTGCAGTAAACTTTGGTTAACAACAACACATGTCTTTTTCCATAATGCACTTTTGAAAGACCACTGGTTAGAAAAGAGTGTCAGGTGTTGATAGTCAAAGTATGAAGTACAGTCTTGAGTGTATTAGTTATACATCATGCAAGTGTGCCTGAAACACTGTTAGATGTGAGGCTGGGACACTTCATGCATAGATCCTTCTGCCGATCGTGTGTGTCACAGGAAGACATCAGATTGCTAGCAGATTGTCAAAGCTGCCAGCAGCTCCATTGCACGAAACATTACTCATCGTTATCTAAAAGAAAGACAACAAAGAAAATCACAACAATTCAACAAAGCAGTTGGACCATTACTCCTAAAAGTAAACGACAGAGGAGGCGAGAGACAATGACAGCATTGTTATAATGAACAACAGAACCAAACATTTAACCTCACCAGGTCACTGGCAGCCATCTGCCAATCTGTACTGGTCTCATATTTGGATCTGTTGCAGCTCATCAGTTTATCTACTGTCTAAAACAAGCTTATCAAGCTTCTCTCTTTTTAAATTGTTTTTATATGCCGCCCCTCCCAAAGTTTGAAATGCAGTATGTGATGACAATAGTAAGAATATTTGCCCTTTTTGGCAAGAAGAAGAGCCAAAGGGAGGGGGGGAAAAAAAGAAAAAAGAAGAACTTGAGATTTTGGCACAATTAATAGACTATGCTGCCTTACAACAGTTTGCTCTCTGATTGCTGCTTCAAAAATATATAATTATATCCACCACTGCGTGGATGTAAGCCATAAGATAACAGATCTTGAGACGAGCCCTCAGGGGAGATATCTGACATTTGCATCATTCATCTCTACTTCAGAAGACAGTAAAAATAGAAAATGAACAAACTATCAAACAAAGATGTTCAATTAGAAAATATATCTGAAGCCTGCTCCCATCCTGAGGGATTAACTGCTTTCTACTTCTGCTGTGGCCCCCCAAGTCCGACGACACGCTCAGCACAGAGCACGACAAAGAAAACAGAGTTAAGGGTGTCTTTCACATCTGCTCAGTCTCTTCACGACTTGGTGAAGAGACTGAGCAACAACGTGAGAAAAGAGGACAGAATTTTGACACGGCGCTGATGCTGTCGCTGACGAGAACAATGAAAAGAAACCTGCTCGGATGTTTGTGGCTCAGAAGGAAAACGGTGTGAAAATTAAAAATTATATAAAAGAAAAAATAAATAAATAAAATGAACCAGGTCCAAGTGAAAAACTAATTTGAACTCTTTTATTGTGTGTCATGTAATAACATTAAAGAATATCATTTTAAATGTTATTTATTTAAATCAGAGACACTGAAAATGATAATATGATAAAACTGTCACTCACCTTCTTGATAAGCGCCATCTGCCATCACTAGATGAAGGATGTTGGGATACAGATGCTGGTGCTCAGTTCCTAGAATGCTTAGGACCAAACTGGAGCCCAGGTCAATATTCTCGTCCTCATCTTCATGTATGGCCTTGAGCATCAAAACAACAACAAGTCTCTTCAATCAGTCGTGTGATGTAATGCTTAAAAGGACAGCACAGATGTATATGTTTTAAATATGACTGCATTATTTTGGAGAATCAGTTAATGCAGAGAGAGACTGAACCACCACCCTTGACTGCAGTCCAATCCACCAATAAGACACCAATGGTTCCTCCAGTGGATGCTGGGCCCATGCGGCTCACTTGGGCTGAACCTTATCCCATAGAGTCTGAGATTCCCCTTGGCTGGCTCCAGGGTGGGGCCTCAAAGCCCCTGATTTAGATGAGGTTTCTTGAATAGAGTCGTTTTTGAATATTACTTATTGTGGCCATACATTTTTCCAATTTTTCCTTTGGAGACACTACCAGCTATGTTCTATAGTCATATTATTGGGGCAAATTTCTCCCAACAACAAAGCTCCTTGGATCACTCAGGCATGCAAAATGTGAACGTGACAATTCATGGAGGGAGACTATGTCTGGTCTTTCACTTGGATGCAGGAAAAGTAGAGCCAAAATGAGTCTGCTGCAAAGGTTTGAGCATCTTGCTCCTCTTAGGTGAGGTGTTTTTCACACCGGGAGACCTTGGGCAGACCAGGACATGCTAGAGAATATGTAATATACGCACCTCCCCCAACTCCCCACAAAAGTAGCTGCTTAGTCGGCTGTCCACACTGGAGAAGATGCACTTTGTCATGAACATAATCTTCAAATCTTGCTCTAAGCGGTTTCACTCACAAGCTATTTTCCTTCTAAAGAACTACACATGCCAGCAGCATCACTATGCAAAAGATACAAACCTTAATGACATCCCCTATAAGCTGAGCTGCAGTATTAAAGCAGACATCTCTACAGCTGAAATGTCCAAAACTGGGCACCTCATGCTAAAAACACTCCAGATATAGCACAGCGGTCCAGAGGAAAAAAAAAAAAGTAAATTTGATTTTGACTTGTATTTTCACTTTAACTGTGAAGTTATACGAACAAACTCCAGATTTCAAAGAGAGATAATGAATATTTCATACCTTAATCTTATTGTAGGCCTCAATGAACTTCTCAAAACCCATCTGCTGCTCCAGGTTGAACCGAAGCTCTTCCAGACGGCTGAAGATGCTGTCATGATGCTCCATCTCTCCACCCTGCTCCTCTCCGCTGCCATCTGTTGTGGAGCAGAACCAATCACTTCACATAAAAATCTCAAACTTTTGGTCTCGAAAACTATGAAGGTGCTGAAGGAATATAAATATAATCTTTAATTAATATTCTAAGGTCTTAAGCAGTTTCAAACATAAAACAAGCTAAATGTAAAAACTAGAGTTGGGTAATGTTTTAAAGCAACCTGAGTAAAATAGACCGAAACGTCTGAGTCTCTGTGATGTTCTGTCCTTACCCGAATGCCATTCTTCATTGAGCTGCCTGTTATTACTGTGGTTCTCCTCTCCCACACCATTGGTAAGCAATTCCCCTGCCTCCTCATCAGCAGGACTTCCATTTGAGCATTCCTCCTCCGCTTCCTCTTCTTCCTCCTCATCGCCTTCATCATCTTCCTCTTCTTCATCCTCATCTTCATCCTCATCATCGTCTAACGCCATCCGATTGTTGTCCTGATCGATTTCAGCTGCGATCCTGTTGAAAAGCTCCTGGTCTCTGCTCTCAGGAGGGTTTCCATTAAAGTCGCCAGCTCCAACCTCCTCTTGCAGCAGTCTCTCCATGGATGCCCTGATGTCACGCAGATCTTCATCTTCATAAGCACTAAGAAACAGAACAAGGTTTCTTAGAAAACAATAGTTTTCTCTCTAATATTGTAGGGTCATTACCTTAAATATAAAGCTGCTTGCAATAGTTGTCATTGTAACAACTACCTGTCTTTATATAGTTTACAGATACAGGTTGTTGTTATTTCTGATTACGCCTATGGAAAAATTAGAACCTAACTTTGTCTTAAAAATACTACTCATAATCATGAACAGCTGGGCCAGAAAATGTCTTAGGATGTTTTTAGATTTCGTGCTTTTCTTACTCCTCTGTCTCAGACTGGTCATCATCTTTTCCTGCCTCATCCAGGTCCTCAATTTCCAGGTTGTTGTCTGGAGCAACGTTAGCCTCGCCAGTCACTGTAACGTCCTGCTGAGAGCTGAAGAGTCGACTCAGGTCTGGTAGAGAGCATGTCCGCAGCATCTGCGGGCACAAACCAAACACAGTGACAGAATATTCTGAGTGTTTGACTAACACAACTGCAAGTGGAATTCATATGACACAATAAACAAGGGCTTAATATGCAAAGAAGGGGCCAGAATAGGACATGACTCTATGACAAGATCCTATTCTACGTAGCCATTTTTAAATGCATATTAAAAATGTTGAGCTCTGCAGATCTCATTGTCCCTGATGAAGGTCGTGAAAGATAATGGTTGATGGATGCTCGTCCTGTAATATAAGACTCAGCGGAGGTTCAGACTGGGAGATTAATGGATTCATTTCAGCCTTCTCATTAATAAAGAAGACTGAAATCCTACCCAAAATACTGCACAAGCCTCTACATCACACCAGGGAGAAGAGATAAATGTCCTGAAACACCTGATCACTCTTACAGCTAACAATGTCCTGGGTTTAATACTTAAGATAATTAACTTTGGAGCTTCCCTTTATTATGTAACACAATGTCCGCGCACACACACAAAAAAGTGTTATATTCTGCTAGTAATCACCTTGGGGTTGTTGGCATCAAACATGCCTGTAGAAAGACCAATGAGGAGTGCATTCTGGTGTTTGGAGCGTAGAGGTGAGACAGAGCGTGAGCGAGAGGCCAGAGAGGAGGATGATTCATCCATGGAGGACTGGGCTGAGAGGATAGCGAGGGCGGCAGTGCGTCGGTGGGCCGGGGAACACAGTTTCATAAATAGGGGCTCCTCATGCTGAGCTAAACCAGTAGAGAGGAAAAATGGGGGCAGGTTTAATTAAGATAATACTTACCCTGAAAAAGTAATCTTGGCTCACTACACATTGATCTCACCTGATGGCTCAGGAGCTTTGTCTGCACTCTGCTCAGCCTCTTTGTTGCCTGTTGGTCTTATATCGCCCTCTGCTGGCCTGTAGAAGAAATCCAGCTTAGCTTCACAGACCTGCATGTTGCCTTTGTGCATTTATTTATTTAAAGGAGTTTTAAATCATAATAACAAAAAGCTCAATTTTCATTTTGGTATGAAAAATGCAAATTTTTGATTTCATTTAACACTCACATTTGCTGTTGGCCTTCCTTCTCCCAAGCCTGCTGCACACTGCTTGGAGGATGTGAGGCCTGTTTAGGGGTTTCCTCTAAAAACACCGACTCCAAGTCTGCTGGATCTAAAGGAATTTAAGCATCACTGGACTTAGCTGGGGAAAAACAACAAAAATAAAAATTTAAATAAACAGCAAAAGATTGGATCAATATCAGGTACTAACCCTGAGTCTCAGTAACGCTGGTTGGCAGTGTTGGGCTCTCTATTGCAGCAGCCATGGAGATTTCTTGATGTGAGGCCACATCTGTAGCTGTAGGACTCTCAGCCACTACAGGGGGTAACACTTCTTTAGGTATCTTCACAATGCCAGCTTCTGCTGTCATCTGGTTTAATTTAACTGAAAGAAACCAAGAGACAATAATAATAATAATAATAGTACATGACAAGCGCATATTATTTAAAGCAGGACCAAATAAGAAAAATGTAAACATTAAAGGACTCTTCATCTCTCCATGTGTTGAAGTAAATCCAGACATGCTCTTGCAGTACTTTTCTACCCTAACTCACTATTTATGTAGTTTCTCATAAATAAATAAATAAATAAATAAATAAATAAATCTGCAACTTTGGGACAAATACAGGGAAATATTCTCTAAATTTCACATCAAAACTATTCCTGCAGTACCAAGCAAAGTTTTTGGCCTAATTTAGTCAAATTGTTAGAAATATAAAATAACACCCCCCCCAAAAAAACAAACCCATGCCTTTTAATAGTGTAACATGACCTGTTGCTGTTCCTGTGATCACATTAACTCAGAGTCAGGAGAGAAAAAAAATCCAAAAGACAAGACATGAGCCCAGAAGCTAACTGAATTTGTTTCATGTTGACACTCACATTAAAAAAAAAAAATCATCATGAGGTGAGAAACTGTAAGTAAGACTAACCAGGACTAGAAGACTCGTCCTCACATATGGTGAGAGTCTCCAGTGGCTGGGTGAGTGGCTGAAGTTCTGCCTCCTTAAGTACCTTCAGCACCTGAGAGTCTGGACTTGCTCCCCACATCTTCCTGGGAGCATCTTCCTGTAGCACAGCCATCTGTATAACTTCGCCCGCTGTTTGCTCTGAGACAAAAAAATAAAAACAAAACAACAAACAAACAAACCAAAACCAGAAATAGAAAGAGACAGAGAGAGAGGTAATACTCAGAGAGCAGTTATATGGAAAGCTGTGTGCTTGTTCTGACTCAGCGGGAAAGGACTTACCAATGGTCATGAGGGATGTATCCTCTAGAGTTTGCTGAGCTGCAGAAAGGACAAGTGGAACTCCTGCCTCCCACTTCTTCCTGTCACCACCAGAGGACGGCCTACCATCTGGAGATGCTGAAGTGGCTAATGAGATAACAGAAGGGGAAATTTGGCAAACCTGCCCTTTAGTAGAGAAACCAACAGATCCTGAATAGAAATCAACTGAAGAATTATAATGTCAAAACAAATATATTTCAATTGATCTGTTTCGATACAAGGCACTTCTTTGCAGAAATAAACTATATGAAAAACACAACATGATGATAATGGGAAATGTAGCAAGGAGCATAATCTCAAACAAACAAAAGATGAGATTAAAGCAAATCAAAAGTTAGGAGGTTACAGGTGTGATTTTATTGATAGGACCCACAAAAACGAAAGTTTAGCAATGACTTAAACGGAGCAGCAGTTTTAGCTGACATCAAGTGTTCAAGACATTTGCTCTAGAACTGAGGAGCTGAAACACTGAAAGCTGCATTTGTTATTTTGTTGTGATTCCAGTAATGGAGATTAAACCTGGTCCTAATTGCCTTAAAAGTCTGGATGTTTCATGAAGTATGAATAAATGTGAAATCTAAGTAGGTCCATTTGGTGCTTTGTAAAGCAGTACAAGGATTTTAAAGTAATCCAATTTTTTTAGTGTTAGCATGTTGCATGAGCTGCAGCTGTCTCATTGAATTTTTGACTTATGAAGTCATTGTTATAGTAATCTAAACTGCTTTAGACAGAAATCCTTTATTTTGATTTTAAATGTGGTTGTAGGCCAACTGTAACTTGCGTAATGCTTCTGTCAAAATTTAGGTCACAGTCTGTTTATGCCACGATTTCTAGCTTGACATCATGGTTTCAGACAGGTGTTAACTTTTATTCATACAGGCTAAAAAGGCCAATTTCATTTGTTTTATTTGGTTAAAATTTAAAAGATGAAATGATAAACACACTCACTAAATAGCAAAGACGACAGTTGGTGGTCAGATGTCCACCACATTTTCAACTATGTGCATTTACTGCTTTTTTTAAGAAGACTGAGCCTTTAATGAAGCTTTAGAGTTTGTATATGTGTATTAAACGTTTGTGGGTAAAGAGTTTTATAAACTTTCTTTTTGGGAGGAAAACAAACCTTTTTTGGCTGTCAATCACATTTGACTGGTGATTCTATACATGCAGTTTTTAAGCTTTGGCTCAGTTACCCTATGTCCAAATCGGGGCTTTCAAAAAACTGCCCAGTCGTTTTATGAAGTTCGCTGCAAGTTGTGAGACTTCTCTCTGTTTGTCAGGGCATGGCACACCACAAAAAAAACAAAACAAAACATACTGTAATCCTCTTAATTCATCTCTAGTTAGACTCAACTCACGGCTTGCTGTGGCACACGTTTCCTCTAAAGTTTGCTGAGCCACGGGAAGTACAGGTAGCTCTGCTGCTTCCCACTTCTTCCGGTCTTCATTGGAAGAGGGGCGCTTGTCTGTATCAGACTGGTTTTGGGTTGGAGCAGGACTTGATTCTGCTGGGGCCGAAGGAGACTCCTCCACCTCCTCCACTGGGCTTTGAGCTTTAAGGTTCTGGTTAAGTCTGCGCAGAATCTGCTTCTTCTCACTCTGTTACAGAGAAGTGATTGCATAACAGTATTTTTTTTCATTAGAACGAATGGCGTTGTTATTTGATTTCATAAATTTTAACAACTAATCACCTCACCTGGATCATGGTTGCAGACTCTGGTTCAGGCAAGCTCTCCTTTAGTGGCGTCATCTGTTTAAAAAAAAAAAAAAGCCAAATTCATGTAGCTAATAAATAAATATCCCAAAGTACTGTGAGAGATAGTGTTATACATCAATTATATACTGACTGCTCCAACGTTCTTTAGGGCAGCAGTCATGGATATAGCTGGGGTGGAGGGTTTGGGTGTAGGCAGGGCTGGAGTTTTGGCAGCTGGTTCTGGCTGAGAGGGGCCTGGCTGTGGAAGAGGACTATCAGAGGTAGACGATACTGCTTCTGAGGCCACTATATTTGCTCCCGCCATGCCACCTTTGACCCCTCGTGCTGCAAGCTTCCATAACAGTCAACATGCAAAGTTAGCTTATACTTTAACTAATGCACCAGTAAGGTCACACTAAGACAAGACAGGGATGAACCAAAAACAAATGCTTACATGGTCCTCCCATGCCCTTTTCTCTCGCTCATATGCTTCTCTCCTCTTCTTCTCTAGCTGCTCTTTCAGAAGAGCTGCACGGGCATTAGCTTGTGCCTGCAAAACAGAACAAAACAATGACACGCTTTGATAAATGTTACAGTTTTGTTTATTATAAGTTGACTTGGGAATTACCGATGGTTTTCATATTTAGCTTGAAGTAGTTTTGTTTCTAAACATTAGTCCAGGAGAAAACATTGATACCGGTGACCCACTGGGTGGTTGTTTCGAGGTTTAGGGTTAGTCACTGTTTTTGCTTAATAAACCATGTTTTGATCTGTGGAAGTTTTGTGAAATCTCACGTGTTCGGTTACTCTGAGCCGTGGATTTTAGGGGCTGTAGCAATGATCAAAATACGATTACTAAAAATAGGGCTGTACAAAATCCAATGTCTTCTCTGATGACAGTGTTTTTTTTATATTTCCCGGTGCTGTTTCAGGACAAAACGACAGCCATGACTTTTTAAGCCTCTTTACAGCAACAAGTTACAGGCAAAGCAGAAAAGGAAGAGCATTACATCATCTTCCTCTTGCTGTCATTTTAATCATTGTTAACGTCTCTGCAAATGAAGTTATCAAATAAACATCGGATATTGGAAAATGCAATTGTTTTTTGCTTCTTCTAGACTCACTTTTAAAGCCTCTATCTTCTTTCTCCTGAGCTCGGCCTCCTCACTGGACTCCTGGCTGTCAGAACCATCGCTATCATACTGAAATACACAGGAAGCAACATCAACACCCAGGAGACAAAAATGTCAGCAAAAATTGAAAACCACCTTCATTATTGGCACCCTGTGAAGAGGTGGAATAATGTACCTTCTCTCCTCTGAGTCGAGCTTTGATCTGCTGGCGCTCATTGAAGTTCTGCAAGCGGATCTGTCTGAGCCTTGCCAAGTACTCCTGACAACAAATACAGAAATGTTACATACTGAATGAACACACACAAAGCAGAGAGTACAGTACTGATATTAGCAGACATACAAAAAACAAAACATGCTTTGTTGGGACTTGTACATAAAAAAAAAAAATGTTATACACAAAGGCATCAGCCATTTAGATAAAATAACAAAAAACAAAACAAAAGACAACACAAATTTACAATCAGCAATGAAGATGTATTCAATTCAGAGCAAAACATTTATGACCAAACTCAAAACTCAGGTGGTTATTTGAAATGAGACAGCAGCCATAACTGGGATAATGGAACACCACACATTGCACAAGGAGTGGCAATGAGTTTGAGCTGCTGGGTTGAACTGTGGGCGGGTCAAAGGGAGCTTTGTGCAGACGTGTGAAACGTGCCAAGCCAGACGTGCTGTGAGTAAGGTGAAGTGTGAGGCTGGGCGTTCAGGCCTTTGCCTCCTACCTCCTCCTCTTTGTTGGGTTTAGACCTCCTGCACCGAACACCACCAGCCCGGCCTCCATAGATTGCTGCCAGGTTTTGCCGAGTACCCTGTTTACCATTTAATTTAACCACACTTTAGGACTCGAGCCCTAACAGCTTAGCTGCCACAAGATTATGTGTAAGACAAAAATAATAGAAAAGGATAAAAACATTCGCAGGCAGTCGTTTGATTCTCAGTGTGATTTGCAGTCACAGGTCTGTAATTGATTCAATATTGAGACCGGAAATAGAGCTTAATTAAGCTGTTAGATTGACAATGCTTCTTACTAAATATCAATATCAGTTTTTATTTCTGTTCATATAAATTTCACCAGTATAGTAACAGGTTATCATGCAGTATTTTCATGATGGGGGCTATATACTTATTAGTAGTTATAATATGTACCAGCTGTCCTTCAGCACGGGCTTTGTTGAGCATAGCTTCCCTCCTCCGCTGCAAAAACTCCTCAACTTGAAAGGCCCGCCCAACTGCCATTTGACCGCGCTGCCTGTGAAAAGAACACAATAATAAATATTCGTACTCAACTTTTACACCGTTGAGAACAACAACACAGCTATGTGACTAGCTGACCTGCTAATATGGGCTTGTTTGGAAACATGCTGCAGCCTGTGGAGTTCTCTCTTGATTAAGTCAGGGTCGAGTCGTCGAGCAGGGCCGTTAGGAAGCACTGTGCCTGCAGCAGCTGGTACACTAGTCAGTACATAAATAGGCAATGTCATTACAAATACTACTTAACACACATAAACAGCCAAAAATAAATAAATAAAATAACCTTACCGAATGGGACTGCAAGGTCCAGCTGAGGAGCTCTCCCTGCTGACATCTTTAGGCGTCGGTCTAGCCATTTGGTCGAGGATTGCATGGTAGTGTTCATAAGAGCTTTTACCAGGGAGAGGAGCTAGAGTAGAACCCTGAACAGCAGCAACATGTGCACCTCTCTTTCCACCTCCTACAAAACACTGAGTACGGAGAACAAAAAAAAATGTTGCAACCCTCGCTGAGGGCATCCTGACATAACTCTTTATATGACAAAAACAAAAAAAATATACATTACCTTTCTCTCTGGGCTGCTACCTCCACTAGAACTCAAGACATGCTTCCAGCCTTGTTCTCTAGCTTGGTTTATTCGATTGATCTGTAAGAGATTAAAGGTTCAGATTTAGGTTTAGCTGTACAGAGTGTGTGAACTACGAATGCACTGTGGAGCTCAGATCAATCACCTAGCTGAAGATAAAGAAAATATCCAGACTAAATCCCCCCTCTACAGCTGCCACTGACCTGCAGGCTGTGCTTTGACAACTCATGTGTTAGTTTATCATTTCCTTCATATAAAAATGTTGCCAACATTTAGGAAGCTTAAAACTATAGTACACAAAAAGTTAGGGTCATGGTGGCCATAGCCATAAATTTCTATACATTCAGTGTTCTCAAACTGTGTTCTAGGCCATGGGACGAATATAGAGTGAAACTGAACTGAATTAATAGACTTTTGGTAAGAATTTTACTTGATTAAAATTTATATTTAATACTTTTTTTTTTTAACTTTGTCCTAAAAAGGATCCCCTTTCCTTCACTAATGAAATAAAAAATAAATAAAAACCACACACCCAAGCTCAGTTAATCACCCACCTTTTCCTTTTCATATCTCTTCATCTGCTCCGCTTTCAACATGAACATCTGAAAGAAAGAAAGACTTTAGTTCGAAAGGTATAAAAACTTTTTGCATGGAGATGTAGAAACTAAACAGTATGCTCACCTGCTCTCTCTGTTTCCTTTCTTTCTCGATCATCTCCATCCTCTTCTTTCTGATGCCATCCTATAGAATGAGACAAAACCATTCAAACCCCAAAATAGACATCTTAAAGAAACCCGCCTCAAGGGAAAGAGCCAGCAGGACTGCTCTGTCAGAGGGCGAGGAGGAAAAGTTTGGTTAAAAGAGAAAGCTATATCAGGCAGAGCACTCCAAATGGGCCGGGAGCGGACAACAGGTGAAGATGGGGAGCAAGCGCAATGAGAGGGAGCAAAATTGAAAATGCTAATAAGAAGGGACCTTCACGTGTCAGTGAATGGCGAGAGAAAAAAAAAAAAGGGAGCCTATTAGAGAATATAATATGGCGCTCTCAGTGTACCTCGTGTTTTTTCCTCTCTTCTTCCACTTGACTCACTCTTCTCTGGGGGGTTGCTGGGAGAAGGGCCTGAGCAACATATGACACTGGGCTTCAGAGGTAGCCAACATAACATGATGTACCAATACACACTTACTCACACATACACACAAATGGAAGAAGCATTGACAACAAATACAGCATCTGGCATAAGAAGGCAACCCCCCCCCCCAAAAAAACCCCCCAAAAAAACAAAACAAAACAAACGTCATGACTAAAGATCGGTCATACCAGCTTGTCATCAACAATAACAGCCTACTAACCGGTTTGTGTTTTCCAGCTGGTTTCTTGTCTGCAGGCTTTCTGGCTCCATCTGGGACCTTCCTCACAGTTAAAGGCACTCCGTATTTGGCGGCTGGTTTTGTAATCTTCTGGGCTGAGGCTGATGTTATGAGATATCCAGAAGTAATTTAGAAGAAAAACTCAAAAACTAACAAAATTTGTATTTTAGTCAGCCAATGTGCGCACCACACACACACACACTGTTTAGTGTGTGTGTGTGTGTGTATTTTCACATCATAATAAAAATCAAAAAGAAATGAGCAGATTATTGTACAAAAGATGCAAAAGTCCAGCATCCTTCTTTTATCAGTTTTGATTTAAGGTGTCGAGGTCCTCTATAATGCCATGAATATGTGCCCGACTTGGTGGCTGATTAGTTCTAGAATCTACAAACAAGCTGTAGAAGACAGACCCCTTGTAGTCTTCTTCATGACGAGTTTGCTCACCTGATGGCACCTGTGCCACACCAGATTTAGGCTGCTTGTGAAGAAAAGTATGGCGAAATTCCTGAGCAATGATCTGAAATGAGTAAGAAATTTAATGAGCAATCTAGTTTTTGCAAAAAATAAAAAACCCAAAGAATTAACAATCAGCTGCAGAGTCTACCTGTGGTGTGAGAAACTTCTCAATCCTGCAGGAGAGGAAAGGTTTGTCCAGTATGCTGTTGACTGAGGGTCGCTCTCGAGGGTCGCGTTTAAACAGCTGTGCAAGGAGAGATCGCAGTTCTTGGGAGTAGTGACAAGACACAGGAGGGTACGACCCACGAATTATCTTAAGAACCAAGTTCTTCATGTTGCCAGCCTCAAACTGAGAATAAACAAATGCAAAGGCTCACACAGCTGTAACCACTGCATAGAAATTACTGAAGACAATTGAACTATATAGGGATTCTTAATGTGGGGACTGTACTGGATTACAGATTAAATTAGGAATTAATATACTGGAAATTAATTTCAGTGTATTATCTAACAGTACATTATCTAACTACAGTTATACATATAGAATATACAGGGAAGAGATCAAAATTGGTATGTGAGAGAACAGTAAATGCTGCATAAAACACCTTAAAATACTGTATAATTATAATTAAACAGCTCACACAGAATACTTACTGCATGCTTAAGAGTGCACATTTCATACAGAACACACCCTAGGGCCCAAATATCACTGCAGCAGGAAGGAAAAGCAAGGAAAATGAGAGGCGAGAACATACAAATGGGTGGGCAGGGATAAGTTCTGGGTTAAGTTTATTATTCATTCAATAAGGTATCAACAGTCAAGTGCATGCCCTTTCCTTTCCTTTTATAAACTGAGATGAAAACAAGACTTTATTGACAAGAAAACTCCAGATCATTTAGACTGAGCTAAATTTACTTCACTCATTGTAACTAAAGTGGGTTAAATTGCATGTACACTTAAAATAGTTAAGGAGAAAAATCAATACCAGCTTCCTGCTGTAGATGTAAGCGAGCAAGTTTACTCAATAAAAAGGCGAGGTGATCTCCTTACATTACACTGTAGCCACCACCTAATCCTGCAGACTCAAGATTCAGTGGGGAGACACCTTGTCCCATTGATTACTATTGAATTTGCTTGACAACTAGACACCAATGTACGATATTCCAGAAGTCCAAGTACCTTTTGTTATTGTATGGTTTATTTTCACAGATCTCTGGTGACAGGTAATATGGTGTTCCTATGCATGTTCTTGCCAGTTCTACAGTGCTGAAAAACAGAAAAATAGCACATTTTAATATTAAAGCTTCAATATTTCAAATAAGCACTGTCTAATGTGCAAAAATACAAACAATGACATAAATCAAAGCAAAAACAGCTGTAAAAAAGGGAAAAAA